CTCTCTCTCTCTCTCTCTCTCTCTCTCTCTCTCTCTCTCTCTCTCTCTCTCTCTCTCTCTCTCTCTCTCTCTCTCGCTTCAGAGAAGCGGCCTCGAGATATCACCGTTGAGCTGCCCTGCCCTGAGTAGTTCGTTCAGAATTACGGTCATCAGACTTCAACTGATCGCATCTGGATTCGAACTTGGGTCTGTATTTCAAACGTTAATGGCTTTACCAACTGAGCGAAGCCTTAATAATTTTAAATCCACTGATGTATTTGTGATTTCTCTCATATGATCATATCTATTAGTCAATCACATCATTATGGTCATTAGCTGAACTGCAAGCTCAACACAGTGTCCTTTGGGACATCCGTTAAAATTGGAGCGAGAAGATTAGCATGACCCCTGCGCAAGGATGCCACGCATACATCGAGAGATGATCCAAAAAGCAATTTTTGCAAAAAAAAAAGAGTCTTCTTTACCCTACCTTCTGCAAGTGCGTACACCAGACCAGGTGCATGACAAACTGCTCTCCCTCTGGGCGAATACCAGACCAAGCTCATGACAAACTGCTCTCCCTTTGGGACATCTATTTCATGCTTAAACCAGCACTATACCCGACAAACAAAAATGGAAATCCGGTGAGTTAGGAGCGGGATTTTAGCGGGGGGGTGGCAACCGGCAGACGCAGGCAGGTTCAGTGCCGCAATTTTCAAACGCCAACTTCGGCGATTGATCTACGGGGCTGTTGATCTACGTCTGGGTTTATAGCCTAGGCTGGTTGTGTAGTTGATCAGATTGATGATTCTTCGGCTGATTCTTGTGAACTTTTGTTTTAGATTCCACGCCCATTCTGCTCGGTCAAATTCTAAATCTTCTGCGTTAGTTTGGGGTTGGAATGCAATCAGACTCGCTTTCTTTCACAACTCACATGCATGTAAACAGGTAGTGCAGCAAACTGGCGATAAGCGCCCACTCAGAACTCAGAGATATGGTAACCAAGAACGCAGTTCAGATACAAGCTCACTTCAAATGGCTATTGCGCCACAGCGCCTGTACAACTCTCTGTTCTTCGCCAACCCAACTCTGCTGTTCACACACACAGTATCACCCTGGACTGTACACACACGCACACACACACGCTACACTGCTCTATCAGCTATGGCGGCTATGGCCGCTACTACCCCTATCTCTATGGCTAAGCTCTCCTTCTCGCCCACTTCGTATTCGGGCATACTGCAGACCACCTCGCACAAGTCGCTATGGCAGCTGCCGCATGGCTTACGCAGGAATGAATGAAGGGCTGGGCGCTGCCTCTTGATTTATACTTCTGTAGATCGTTGGTCTTCCCCTTTCCCATGCCCCTGGTGCACACAGTCCCACACGGTACTTGCTTGACTGGACTGAGACTGACTGGGACTGGGTACCGCTGACTCAGCACCGCTGGACTTCGCCACTTGCCCACTTGCCTCGGTCTACTGTGGACAGTACCCGAAAGGCCACTTCCAGACCTTCCGGAAGACCGTGGACTTGGCCTTTCGGTACTGTAGCAGCTACAACCTTGACCCTTCAGGACTGTAGCAGCTACGACCTTGACCCTTCGGAGGAGCTACAGCTACGACTTCTAGAACTAACTAAGACTCATATCCGACAGGTCTACAGGTCGAATCCATATAACCTACAGACCTACGACAACCTACCAGCTGTGGGGAAAGACACAGGTCGTGGGTTCAGCTCCTGGGGTCGACACAGATACTGTACACAGGTGGGGTAAGGACTAGGGATCGAGCCCTGGGATCTGCATCGGCTACTGCAAAGGTGGAATCCGTTTCAGGAATATATAGTGCATTCCTCATTTTCTATTACTCTTGACTATTCTGAGATTGTTCATGCTAACTGTGATCTGCGCTCCCGGATCTTTGTTGACTTCGCAGTAATCTGCTCCTGGTTCATCGAGACTGTGCATGGCGAAAGTGAGCCAGTTGTTTCTACCACTTTCCTTTTTCTTTATAAAGGCGAGTGCGTGTTCATGGGGTTTCATGTGTGTCATTACCGCCCACTCCCCTGTTGACCACTGCTTGTCCTTTTTGAAGGTTGATATCCACTCCAACGGGATGGCATTTGTCATTTGTTAGAGGTTTTGGATTAGGTTATGGCAGCCTTTGAGTTTTTTCTCTGAGGTGTCTAGCCGGCTGCCGATCCTTTTTAGAGTCATCCCAGATGTGCTTGATTTGCAAGATGCCCCTCTCTACCCAAGTCCCCCATCTTGTGTCTTTTGCAGTGAGAGTGAACGGTTCGCCGTCATTATCGACTATCCAAGGATTACAGAAGAGAGGCTGTCTGAGGATTTCTTCTTTGCTGATTGGTTTCCTTCCTTACTTTCGATGGAAGGATCTCCCTCCACGCCTTCAATAGCCTATTCCAGAAGTTCACTCTTGGTTCATTTTGGGATTTGTTCTTTACAGTCCACGATTTGCTTAGTATCCAGAAGGTACCTTCCATGTTCTCTACCCAAGTCCCCCATCTTGTGTCTTGTCCCCCATCATGTGTCTTTTGCGGAGAGAGTGACGCGTTCGCCTTCGTTATTGACTATCCAAGGGTTACAGAAGAGAGGTTGTCTGAGGATTTCTTCTTTGCTGATTGGTTTCCTTACTTTCGATCGAAAGATCTCCCTCCACGCCTTCAATAGCCTCTTCCAGAAGTTCAGTCCTGGTTCATTTTGGGATTTGTGTTCTTTATAGTCCATGATGATTTGCTTAGTGTCGAGAAGGTACCTTCCATATTTCTCTGGGGTGCTGAAGCTCGGAAATTGTTGCAACCCCTCTAGGACCAGCGCTCTTCACAGAAGTTTAGGACTCGTTCGTAGCTTAAAAATCCACTTGGTTTGGAAAGCTTTTATTTGATTGGCCGGATCTAGGACGCCTAGGCCTCCTTGATTCTTCTTTCTTGTTACATATTGCCAGGCTACCTTCGTGATGAAGTTTTGTCTTGAAGTGTCTCCTGTCCAGCGGTAAGCTGTTGCTTTCTTTTGGAGGTCTTGGGGTCCAGAATGCTGCAACATGCCACATCGTCGAATACATGGAGGCATTCAGAACTAGCACTCTGCTGTGCAAAGAGGTGTGGATCCTCCCCCAAGTATTGAGTTTTTGCTGGTCATTTTGGCTAGCGGGCTGGGCGCCATTTCTGCTGCTGCTGCTGCTGTAGCATCTTGTATTGACATCGATATTCCTAGCACTCTGAGTGGGTCACTGGGGTTCGCCCAAGTTAGGCCTTCTGGTGTGTTTCTGGGAGGGCCAAGTCCTCCTTCTGTTAGCCACCAGCCAACTGTCTTGCTCCAATTGATGCGTATTTCGGAGGCTAGCGGGAATGCACACATTGCTCTGGTGAGAGCTTCAAAAGAAGAAGATGACACTCTTATGAGGAGACGGTTAGGTCGTCTGCAAACAAGATTGTTGGGGGGATATGCTACTAGTGCGGATTTTGGTCTGTCAGCTGGGTGAAAAGGACTGAAAACCCTGAAAAGCAGAAAAGACTCGAAAGAGCAAATTTTGCATGACAACACACTTTTGCCTTGGGGTTTGACGCCCCTTCAATCCATTTTTTTTTATTTGTTTTCCTTCTTTTTCTCTTGCTGTTGGTTTATTTGGTGTCCATTCTACGGACGGATGACAGGTCTGTCTTCAAAGGTGTGGGACTTTTGTTATAATGACCCTGAAAAAAACCTGCAGTATTAGGGCTCTGTTAACCGCTTCTCCACAAACATACATACATAGTATCTTCCTAGAAGATTGTCGATGGCTTTGTCTTCTGCCGCCTTTTCGGACGCGCGCTGTGCTTCTAGCTTCTCTGACCATTTGACCAGCATGTCAGCAACATCCTCCTTCTCTGCGCCGAGGGCCATATCCAAGGCACTGCTGCCTGCAGTCCATATTGAGCAAGACGAACATCAGGTCGCAGCGAAACTAAACACAAGGAATATAACAGCGAAGGCTCAAGAGCAAACTCGACTACCGGTAGGACTTTCGTGGATGCATCTCACACAAATGCATTACACCCAGATACAGAACATTAACATCCCAACGAGAGCAAGAGCAAACCCCCAATGAGCACATCCCGTCTTCCCTCCACCTGCATCGAGTCCCTCCCTCCCTCCCTCCCTCCCTCCCTCCCTCCCTCCGCTGTGGATGTCCCTTCCCCCCCCCACGCCGCGTGCATTGAGTCCCTACCATCATTTGCGACAAGCGTCGTATCAGCTCCATTTGCAAGAAGAAGCGCCACCTCATCAACTGCTCCCTTCCCAGCTGCCACCATCAATGCAGTGGCGCCTGTCGATCTGTGCTGGTAATTGACTACCAGTTCCTGGTCCGCGCTATTATCACACCCGGTCACGAGCTCCATCAGTGACTCCAGATCATCCTGAAACCAGGCATTAGCCAGCGCCTCGTCCATGGCAGCCTGATCATCCTCTGACAGCTCTCTCCTTGACGCCTTTTTCAGTGACGAGGAGGCCTCGCCTTTTCCAGCGAGGCCGGGGTACGTAATTGGCAGAATGTCTTCCAGAAAATACGAGCGGACCTGGCGAGCAGCAGCAGCAGCAACAAAGAACAACGAGTCCGTGTTTACTGACATCCACCCTGGCAAACACATCAAAGGGCATCAAGCAATAGATTGCAATAAGAGAGGAGCATGTTTATCGCCGCGCTAATGCTCTCGACATCTCTATCCGCATACTAAGGGTTCAAAGCATCAACACATTTCAGGGCTCATTAGATCAATGAACATGGAAGGTTTCAGGGCAAAAGGAGCCTACAAACAGACCACCTGTAGAGAGACCTATACAGCCAACCACAGCACCGGAATCGAAAAGAGGCCTCTACCTTCTTCCCCCGAATACAACGTACGGTCATCTTCGCTGTATTTAGACTGAAAGATATCCCAAATACATAGAGCAACAATGACCGTACGTTGTATTCAGGGGAAGAAGGTTGTTGGCAAATGACTGCTTGTCAGTGCTTGGGGTAGCAGTACTCGGCTGGTGTTTACCAGAACAAGAGTCGTGACATGTTTGCTGGCACTGCTCTCTCGTTTCCCTTCAGTTTTTTTTTTTTTTTTAACCTATATTCTTCTCTCAATATGCCTCCCACTACCTACCTATATACTGCTTGCTTAGCAGGGAAAACTGGGGTTATCGGGTTGGATTCCAGTCCTCCACATTTTTCACCTCAGCATATCGCACGGGATGTTTTATGCGGGGAAAAAACAGTACACAGACTCCTAACACCTGGCGCGAGCTGGAAAGCGACCGGAATGCTTCCACAACCAAGCTAACTATTCCTGCTGGTGAACCTGAAGCAGGTACCACAGGGGCCGCGGGGGATCGAATGGATGATGTGGGGAATCGAAACCACGACCTCCTCAAAGCCACTTATGTGCTCAACCAACTGAGCTAGCCCGCTTGGGTCTCTCTTCTCCCTGCAGGTTTCCTTCCTTCTTTTTTAGCTTTTATGTTTGCTTGTAATGACAGAAATCCATAGTCTTGCCTGGTAAACCAGAGTCAGCAACCATCTGCCAGAGCCAAAACCGACCATGACCGATGGACGGCTCCAAGCGCAGCTGAGTCGAAAAGAATTACTTGGCTACCTTTTCAGAAAACATCATGTGGGCGAGAGAGACCCTCCGTAAGGAAAAAACAACTGGGGAACAATGATACCTCGCCCTGAAGTCTGTACTCTTGTCCGACAAAGCTGGCCGCTGTCGTCACGGTAATCCCCAAGGGAGCTGTGGATGATGTTGAGCAGGGGCCATGGTAATCTTCTCTGTATCGTTCCACTTTTGTTTTAACAGATGTCATCAGAATTTGTCTATTGGTATAAGGGAGAACTTCGAGAACTTTGCCCAATTTTAACTGACAAAGTGATCGTCACACTTGCACAAGAACTGATAAATGTTCACGTCTATAGGCGATGAAAGCCTCCCTTCTAGCCTCCAAACAATGAATACGACTACAATAATCATTCACCACAAAGCTGGCCTCTCCACAAGTCAACCCAGCCATCCACCGTACGCTTCTACTTGAGCCTACACTAAATGCACAATGTTGTAGAGTACGATGCTGCTCCCACCGATGCCTGACCAGAGAATGTACCATGTGCAAGCCCTTCTTGGCAACCCCGAAACAACCGCCTTGCCGACTCTCGCTGCCTCCATCCCCCCCCGCCCCGCCCCCGGGTCCTTCAAGGACCTCCCCTCCTGTCTCTCTCACATCGCTGTCAAGTTATGGCATGCATTCGCTTCTTCTTCCTTCCAGCAGAAGTCATTGCCTGGCTGCCGGTGCTGGCTGCTGCCTCTGCACAGTTGCACAGCATCCCAGCACCACCCTCAGATAAGCGCCTTGGCAACAACGCTCGCCGCCTCCATGGTCCAAAGGTTTCAAGATCCAAAGACGACAACAAAAATTCACAAAGGCCAAAAAATGGACATGGGCGAAAGAGAAGAAAACACCATCCAGTGGAGGCAGCTGTGATGGACGGCGAGGAGGAGGACGAAGAGGAAGACAATGGAGAAAAAAGTAGACAAAAACAAAACACAGGATAGTTGACAAGAAAGAAATGGTAATTACTAATTATTAATTAATAATTATGATTGACAAAATAGAAACAAAAAAAAACAGTGTGAAACATTCAGGGGAAAAAAATAAAAAATAAAAAAAAAATAGTAGTTTAAAATACACACACAACACAAAAATGTCGCATGCGAACGATGTCCAACAACAACTCGTTTCGAGACATAAATCAATTGCTCCATCCTTTTAATCGGACATTGCCCTCGACCGTCTTACCCGAGAGACTTCTAATTATCATCAATAATGATTCAATATGCATTATACATTCATTGAAGTTTCCTCCGAATCTTCACGCTCCGTATACCTGTTAAAGCACCGCTACCTTTCCCGCTGTTGGGGAAACAGCGGGAAAATATCCTATTCCTAAAAAATAGGAGGCCGGGCGCGACGACGGCCACGGTTGATAAATCTCATCAGCGGCCATCGTTTCATTTCGGCCTCCTAAAGATTCGGGGGGAAAGTCATAAGACCTCCCCATGACGAAACTTTTATTTCCCCCCAAATGGGGAAAAAAGTGCCGCAGGTCCCAAAATCACTTTTGGTGTCATTTTCGCACCCTGGCTGGGCCGGTAATGGCCGCTTGTGTAAAAATGGCGGGAGAAAGCATTTTGCAGGGTGCAAAAATGACGCCGAAAGTGATTTCACAGCCTGCGGCACCGTTTTCCCCGTTTGGTGGGAAATGGATACAAAGGTTTTGTCGCGGGGAGGTTTTCTGACTTTTCCCAAGATTCGGAGGCCGGCAGCGGCCCGAATGGGAAAAGGTAGTGCTGGTTTAAAAGAAACACCATGTTTCCCTGTAGTGTCTTACCGGGCAAGTATTCTGATCCGTGATTACTTAGAATTTCTTTAGAATCTTTGCGTTCGCATCTTCCCTTGAGATTATTATTACATGCCACAACAGTTTGCACCAAGGTAAGCAGAGTGAAGACCCTGAATCGAACATATGGTCATCATCGTTGTATCTATAGATTCTATACTGAAAGTTGCCCCGAATACAGGCTAAATGACCATACGGCGTACGGCGTACGCTCTCTTCGAGGGAGGGAAGACAGCAGTATGACGCGACCATTCGGGTTTGTGTCATCAGACTATATGGTTATACCGTTATAGATAGAAAAAAAAAAAAAAAAAAAGATTACCGGATAGGTGAGTCCAGGAACTTCAATGAGCGGGCATCCACCGAAGTATTTGGAGTACAGATCTGCATTAAGTGTCGCGCTCATCATAACCTGCAGAGAAAAGGAGACACCACACAGCCAAAACGAGCATGCGCATCACGTACCCCGCCAATGTTGCGGCTAAATGGCACACGCATCTAGATCACGTACCTCGCCCATGTTGTGGCTAAATCGAACACAAATGTAGATCTTGAAAGGCAAATCGCGAGTGCAAATGCTGATGGAGTCGGACGTATACAATAATGTTAGGGCCTACCCCTTTAAAAGTTAAAAATGTGTCCTTAGGGGCGTCCGTTAACACTGGAGCCATACAGAGAAGACTAGCATGGCACCAGCGCAAGGATGACATGCATAAATCGAGAAAATGGTCCAAATAAGGGTGGGCGGAGGGGGGGGGGGGACAAAGGTGCGCATTACAATACCGTTTGCTCACCCTTTCGAAGTCTTTCGTCGTTTCTCTTTTTTCTTTTACTTCCCTTTTGTCTTTTCAGATGCGTCACTCAAATTTGTACACCTTGTCCTCAAGCCTTCTAGAGAAGTTCTAGTATATTCTGTTCAGGGCTTAGCCACCACCCAATTTTGCAGCCACTGTGGTTATACCCCATGGCCACTCCAAGCCTCCGGTTTTAAGCGTGCTTATACCCCATAGCCACCCCAGGGTCTCTAACTTTCAGCTAGTTCATTTGAAGGCCGATTCGACAGCCACGGTTTCGTCTCACATTTGGAGAAGAAACCAGCTCAGGGCAAAAAAAAAAACACCGTCAGAAATTGGGGAATGGCACATTATGACAGTTCAAACACCAAAACAATAAAAAAAAAAAAAAAAAAAAAAAA